CGCTGGACGACGTCCGAAAGGGACACGCCCACAAAAGAGAGCGGGTCGGTCGTCTGAGGAGGTGGAGACCACAGAACCGGTCCAAATAAGCTGTGCCCAAATACAGTGGACATGGCTGACAAGCCATCGGGCTGTAGGGCTCGTATCTCGCCTAACAAGATGAACCCCAGCGCGTCGGCTCCCAGCAACAAGTCTATAGGCCCAGGTTGGGACCCTTGAGGGTCTGCCGGTCTCAAACCCGAAGCACAACGAACACCTGTCATTTAAACGGACGTTAGGGAGAAAGCCTTCAATGTCATCGAGGACATTTACCTTAACTAGAATGTGAAGGTGTTCGCTGGCAGGGCCAAACACCAACTCCGCTTGTCCCCAAGGAGCAGGAGGCTCGGCACCTCCGATACCTATCATTGAACGTGATTCAGAGCTCCAGGGGAGCCCTAGTCTTCCCACCAACCAAGTGGAGGCCACACAGCGTTGTGAATCCGAATCCAATAGAGCGCGAACCGTTAAACAGTCGCTACTCGGGTTGTACACCTTCACTGAGGCCGTCGGCAATAGAACAGTTTGACAAGTGGACTGGAGGCGGCCGTGGTGGGAGCTAGGGCGGCAGCTACCTAGCTGGAGCTGCCTCCATCGCACTGGCACTCGAACCGGGGGCCCGAAAGCGGCATTCCGGAGGCATCGCAATTGACCCGTGGTTGGAAATCACCAAATGGGCCAACCTGGGGAGCTTCGGGAAACCTCGGCTTTGAGGCCCGGGACAGCTTCGAGGTCGCAGGAACCTCGTAGTACCGGTACCGACCAAAGGGGGGAGGGTGATACACCAGTCGCGGTCGCTCAGCTAACGGGGGTAAGAAGGGTCTAGCTGACCACTGAGTGGCCGTGCAGTTCCTCTCAACACGCTAAGGGGGGGCAACGACGCCCCCGCCCCTGGAGGAACGACCCCCCGACTGGTCGTGGGAGGGACCCCCTTCCAAACGAGGGGCACGGTGGTCGGCAGGCGAGCGCCGAGCGTCGCCCGACAGAGGGCGTGGCTGAGCGCCCCCGCCCGTGAGAGCTGAGGGCACGGCAGAACCCCGAGAGGAAACGCCGTTCGCACCCAGGCACAAAACGGCATGGTGGTTGCCCTGGCAGTGCGGACAGGGTCGCTGGTGCAGGCAGTCTCGTTGGAGGTGCCTTTCCAAGCACGAGTAGCACCAGCGGCGCTCCTTCGCGATGGTTCGCCTCGCCGGAACTGGCTTACCCAGCAACTTCGGGCAAGATGTCACCCGGTGATCGGATGCTCGACAATAAGAGCAGAGGGGTGCCTCCCTGGCCGCTAGGCCGTTATAATATGGTAGGGGGCGGCGCCCTCACGTGGGAGCTCCGCTCGGTCTTAGGGGGGTTGGCGACGACTTACCCGGCGGATTCCGCCACTCCCTGGGCACGGCTCTGTTGGCAACCCGTAGGTCGTCGACTGTGCCCGCTGCGTTCTCAATCTGCCATCACTGCTCCTCCAAGTCCGTCCCTGAAGGGCGGAATATAGGAGGCGCCGTCCCCACCGTACCTCTCCTCAAAATGGAATCGAAGGTCGAGAGGCAGGCGGGACAGAACGATGTGGAGCAACAAAAAGGATCATTCGTCCACCGGTAAATCCAGCCGCCTCAACGAATTACAGGCCACCACGACTGGATTTATGATGTCCGGACGTAGTCTGGCCCGGTCCCTAAGCAGTGGGAGGTTTAGGAGCTGCCTAACGTATTCGTCTGCAATTCGCCGGACGTTGGCGTACCTTCCTGCGAGGAGGTCCCGGGCAGTCTGGTAGGCGTCGTCCGACAATTTCATATGGCCGACGACGCCCAGGGCCTCCCCCTCCAGTGAGGCCAGGAGGTACGCCATCTTCTGGCTTTGTGTCACGTCCCTCTGGGCGTCCACTAGGATATCAAAAATACCAACAAAAGTCAGCCAGCCGGAGAGGACCCCGGAAAACCTTGGCAGGCCCAGACTTGGGAGTCGTCCCAACAGCTCCGGCTGAGTAGGCTGCTTCGGAGGGGACTCGGGAAGGCCACTCAGTCAAGCTCCACGCGCTTCATTAGCATACTTGGCCCCCGCCTCGATCAAGTCGTCCGTGAGCGAAAAGAATTGCTCGTAGTCCGCGAGGCAGGAGTCTAGGACTCTCTGTTCCGCATCCGAGGCCAGGAGCTCAGTGGTAGCCACCTCCACTACGGCCCTTCGCGCCGCGACCTGCTCGAGCCGCTTCTCTAAACTATGGACCCGATCGGGTCGCCCTAATTATGGGCATTCGCGGCCCAGCGCATCTCCGCCTGCAGGCGAAGCGCCAGTGGCTTGTGCGATGGCATCACTACTAAATACAAATTACTATTAAATTAAATTAAATACAAATTACACTACACTGCACAAATACAAATTAAATTAACAAATAACAAATACAATTACAATTAAATTAAGTTAAATACAAATTACACAGTCGGTCAACAAAGATGCCTCGCTGAAGCGACCGACCCTCCGGCTATTTAATCTACCTACCCGAAATACCTGACGCGTAGGTACCTAACTCTAAACTACACTCCGGCTTGCGCAGCCTAACGGGCGTGGTTTTAATTCTACCCACCGATCCGCTAACAAAACACAAAAAATATTTATTTATTATTACAGCCGGGCGTGATTGGAGAAACAATCAACCACGCTCTGCTACCAAAAAATGTTACGGCCTTCAATTGCCCAGACAGACTCGACAACTCGAAATCGACTGTATTAGGGCCCATCAGTAATACACTCGACGAGCAACAGAGGGTTCGGGCCCCAAATGGCCTATGGATAATTAACTAATAGCTGATAAGCAAGCACAAACTTACCGAGTTCCGGAGGTAGTGTCGACCACAAGGCGAAGTCAGGTGGTAAGTAAGGTGTATGTAAGTAGTGTGTGAAAGTGTGTAGATGTAACCTGACGTCACCGACGTATTCTGAGAGCGGACCCACAGGCGCCGCTTTCCTCCAAAATATGTGATCCCTCCAGTGGGCGTTTACCAATTGAAACCTTCTGCTTTTATTTCACTATATTAGTTTATCAACTTTATTGTAGATTTAATTAATTTAAAATTCAACCAAATCAACGTTAATCGAAATTAAAACAAGTCACACGCTGCACAACTTAAGAACAGTCGGTCAAAGTTCAATGTCCCAATGAACCACGAGCACGAACGCGATCTCTTCTCGAGTCACAAAATTTTAGCGTTCAAAATTCAAAGTAGCAAAATTCCTTCCTACGATATTAAAATGCCACAAAAGCAACTCGTCGACGCAAATTAATGGTAATCGAAGTTAAGTTAATCACTCAAAAATATGACAACAAGAATTTTATAAGACAAGCCCCGTTTTCACGCAAAACGAACGAGATTAGACAACACAAAGGAGGCGGTCTTAACGAGACCCAAATAGTCTAATTGACACTACGGCCGCGCCCAACTAACATCGCCCACGCATCAGGCGACCGAACGGTGAGCAGAGAGATCCGGCGCGCTCGAATGAACGCGCCGAGCGCGCGTCTTGAATTCAAGTTTCAAAGGTTAATATTTAGCCTAAACAGTTGCCACTTTGGCAATTATGGCAAATTGGAAGTTTTTTTAGTCGTTATTAGGAAGACGATACTGCCCATCTCTTGATTTGTTCCCCTCTGTCGTCTCTTACGTAAACCCAAGGGATGTAGTGGATATTCTTACACCGCCTCTAAACGGTAGGATTTAGAGTTAAGATAATATTTAAAATTTTCCATAATCTTTTAACCTTTAGTTAAAAACGTACTTTTAATTGCTATAAAAGTGCAAAGCACAAAGCACTTTTTAAAGGAGACTAAATAAAACTTCAATATTAATTTCTAAGTTAACGGTGGTGTCGAAGCAGCGTCATTCAATCCCCGTATTGTAGTTTAGAAAGTATGTTTTGGTCGTTAAGAACTTTGAAAGCTGAAAGTTTGAGGAACGTATAAAGTATTTTTACGACGGCTTGATAACAAATACCTTATTAAAACTGAATTACTAACATTGAAATTCTGAAACTTTATTCAAAATCATTTTTGTCGCCGTATATCTCCATCCGTGGATTTCACAACTTTGTACTCAATTTCTTTTAATAGAATGAGGGTAACAAAGGAGCACACAGTCCACCTGATGGTAAGTGGATACTATGGAACATAACAACAAAATACATATCTACATTTATCCTCGATTAAGAATCAATATGCAGATACGTTGTCACCCCTGAGGACTAAGATGGAATGCCTCTTATCCAGTAAAAGGGTAAAAAAATAAATAAAAGGTAAACGCGTAAACTTTTGTCTTCTGGGGATTGAACTGGACTAGATTCACATTCCCATTCCATTCACGGGAAGAAAGAGTAGTCTATTAAGAATAAATGAAAAAAAATTGAAGATTTAAAGATCGTGAGCCTTGATAGCACAAACGATGGACCTTTTAATTTATTGTTGCGTCCAAAATTTGACCCTGTTGGCACCATAAAATTGTTAATTGCTATTTTCAGTGTTTATTTATCAATCGCAATTTATCGCAGAGGCAAAGAAAAATATTTTTATAAATCTGCACAGTTCAAAATTTCTATATATCTAGAGTATTACGGCGCACCTGTTCAGCGCACATGCAGGTGACTCAGAACCTTGCTTTGTGACATTCCTTGGAGGAGGCCTATGTCCAGCAGGGGACTTGTGAAGAGCTGTAATGATGATGATGATTACGGTGCACCTGTCCACCGTTACATAATGAAACAATGCGACTGACTCTTACCTACCCTCCCAAAACTGAGAGGAGGGTTTTTATTTCATTTAATTTACTTTTCATCAAATCTAGCTCCGATTAGCACTAAAAACATGTACCCACCTCGGAGTTAAGTCAAAAACAACCATTTAAATTATAGACTTTTATTTATTATGAAATATTTTTTTAGGATAACGGATTTAGTAAATTCGCATCAATTGACGTTGTATTTCATTAATTAATTATTTTTAATTTTGTCATGTCATACGACGTAGCCTCTTCAGACATCTTGTCTTCAATCCAGTTTATAAAGGAGTAGACTCGAGTATAGACATCTGGGTATCCTCTAGCACATGGCATGCCCCAGGAAACGATCCCAACTACTTTGCCATCTTCGACAAGAGGGCCTCCTGAGTCTCCCTGCATAACAAATATATTCTCAAGATTACAAAAAACTTAAATAAGCGTATCTATTTGTCTTTAGTTATATTATATTATTTTAGTGTGATGACAGTATAAGAGAATCCATCTTCACATTTATTCCTCAGGGTGTCGTAAGTGAGGACTATGGAAAATGCCATAAAAATCTTTTGACTTCCGGTAGATGGCGGTATAAACCCGTTTACGTCAGACGTATAGTGCCCAGACCGGCGATTAGCAGCAGCGTCACGTCTGGCACTGCAATCGGTCAATCCGTCTGCCCAGCGTAAGAATTAAGACAAACCCACCCTACAACGCCTGAGACCCAATTCCAGCAAAGGACTTTGAACTGCTGATAAAGAAGAAAGAGGCTTAGTGATTTGATTAGTTAATAATTCGGTTATGAATCAAGTCATGAATCATGGAAACCACGTCTCGTGTTACAATCTCGTCCAAAAATAAAATACTTGCAAAACACAATTTTTGATGGAGAAGACGCCGCCTACATTATTTCGTGGGTGTCGTTAGAGGCGACAGAATAAAATGAAAGTGGAGATTGACAGCAGCATCTTTCTCATAAGTACTCACAAATAAATAAATAAAGATTGCAGTTGCCAATCCGTATGCCAAGCGTGGCAGCTATGACTCATCTCAGGTAGACCTATTTTCAGCAGTAAACTTTTAATAGGCTTTAATGGATGAATGGATAGATAGGTGGACGTAGAATCAATCGCTTAATTTATTAACACGTTTATATATGTAGTCTATTGGGTGTTTGAGGTTGCAGAGGAGGTAGTGCATGCGATTGTGGGAGGGAGATAGGTGCTCTTCATACTAGATTTACTAGTATGAAGACTTTCATTATATATTACATGATTTAAATTATTAAGGTCGCACTATTTTTATAAAAAAATAATAATATATAGATTTCGGAAATAAAACTTACATGGCAAGCGCCTTCGCCTTTTTTAGTAAGTGAGCAAATTTGTGTTTCGTAGACGGGGTTAATGCCTTGGTATATATTTTGACAATCCTCTACGCTTAAAGACACCAAATTGATCATCTGCAACTGAACTGGTAAGACTCCTGGATACTGAAAAACAATACACCTACATGATAACACATTAAAATAATTTTAATTGGAAAAGGCTCTTAAATTCTCAACACAGTTTGGATGGTGCTGCATGTTTGGATCTCATCAGCTATATATTGTATACTAGCTGACCAGGCAGACGTTGTTCTGCCCTTTCCGAACGACCATTTGCTTTCCCAAAAAAAAACTCCTGTAATTAGCAATAAAATATTGAGAATCACCTATCGGGATAAAAACTATCTCTCAAGATGGACCAAACTGAATACAGTGTGCAAAATTTCATTGAAACCAGTTCAGTAGTTTAGGAGTTCATCGCGAACAGACAACGTGACACGTAATTTTTATATATAAAGATTAGTCCCGTGGTCGCCATGCCACTCGTAGTTATTTTAATATAGGCCTAAGTGGTACCTTATTAATTCGGCATTATTTACATTCAAAATAATCATCAAAGACCAAATAAAAAAAATTAAATAATCATTCATCATTTTTTGATTTAAATAAAATCTCCAAGTTTTCCGGATAAGATATAGCCATCGATATATATGTACTACATACTAGATTTCGCATTCCGAACATAAACAACATTCCACTGAACTGTACAGCAATACGTACAGTGTGGCATTTACTCGTAGTGTGGTTTCAATCTACTAGTTAGTCTGTGGTTTTAATATACATGTAGTGTGGAGCGGCGTTAATAATACAAGATTTCAAATTAAAGTTTTTTTTTTTATAGAATAAGGATGACAAACGAGCACACAGTCCACCTGATGGTAAGTGGTTGCTGCGGCCCATAGACATCTACATCTATCTTCGTTTGCGAATTAAAATGCAGATGCGTTGTCAGCCGTGAGGACTAAGATGGAATGCTTCTTTTCCAGTAAAAAGGGTCTCCGGTTCTCTACACTCACCATACGAAACACAGCAGCAATTTTACGCTGGCATCCTGTGAGAGCGTGGTCCTTCCCCGGTCGAGCCGACCCATACGTGCTACAACTATACTATTAATATAGCTGCAGCATGGCTCTACCACGTATAAAAATTTTAAGTTTAAATTAAAAACTGACTGCGCAGGCGCATGTGCGACTCTACTATCTCCCGCGCATGCGTGAAAACATAGAGTAGTGCACATTTTTTGTTTGGAATGGCTTCTCTAGTACGTAGTACATATAACTCAATGGATATAGCCTAAATCACTTGTTACTTTGCTCTCTACCTGTTCGTGATGTTTCATTACAATCGGTTCAGCCATTTTGTAGATTAGCTCGGACAAACAGACAAACAAAATAATTAAAAATGGTTACTTAATACTCATGTCTTAATGGCATGCAAATACCCCCCTCAGCTCAATAAAGGTTATTCACACAGTTATTTCGATATTACAGACAGACACTTTTAATTTTATTTATATGTATCTATAGTTTATAATATAAATCCTCCCTGCAACGAGAGGGTCATTCCCCGCCGCGTACTTTTAATAACTTACGTTGTTCGATCACATCTAACAACTTATTTCGCGTTCCTTTTGTTCCCAAGGGAAATAAACTAGCTCGAAGTAGTACTTTGGTAAATCACTGTCGGAATAACTTTCTTTTTAATAATTACTTTGGAAACATTACAAAAGATATGTAAGTTATTGTAACAGGTAAACAAAAATCAAACAATATTTATCTATATTGTACGATTTTTGTTTACGTATTTTTTTGAAAATAAAAACAAATACAAAAATAATGCAAAAAACGTAATCCTGTAAATATATAAATATATATATATATATATATAGAAAAAATTATCATAGTCATCATAAAACCAGATCTTACACTGTAGCGGACAGCGAGGAAGACCGCCGCCCCGTCGCCCCTTCACACCCCGTTGCGCCCCGCGCACCCCGCACACCGGCAGCAGATCATGCGATTTCACCGACCAATCAGCGCGCGGCATCGTCTTACGAAGCTACTCACGAACCGAGACGCTCTTTTGCGGGATATAAGAAGGGCGTTTTGGTCACGTTTGCCACATTTGTAAATAGTTGAATACAGTATAGTTCTTAGTACCATCTTTTCTTTAAGCAGTCCCCTAGCGTAGTCAGTCATACAGTCCACTTGCAAAGTAAATTAATACAGTCCACGTTCGATCCCTAACATACACAATTTTGTTGTATTTATTTGAAATACATGTGACAAAATTATTTTTTTCATAACTACTAACCCCTGAAGTCGAAATACCTATTGATTTTTTCCTGCTCATGTATCAAATAGGGTAGTCTTATCTTATACGTGAAATACTCTCAAAGGAAAACGTAGGTGATAGACAGGCACCGATAGAATTTGATATGTGTTCCGGTTAGCTGAATTAAGCGAATATAAAACCAAACAAAAACACTTTAATGGCTGCTGAAAATTTATGCTTACCGAAAGTCTCCCCCAACCACTCAGCAAAAGGTCGGCCCCTGACTCCGTATTGGCGTTGGGCAACTGGATGGGTTGTACACGGTCACTGAATTGTATATCCGCAGAAACTTTGACCAAGCTGACGTCATTGGAGATAAAGTTTCCATTGTACTGTTCATGAATTTTAATATCCACAACAGAATACTCATCGCCCCCAGCGAGGAGGCTGTTAGTACCTACAACCACAATCATCGTACGGTTTGTTTTCCTGTAATATAAAAAATATATAAAGAGAATAATAAAAATAATATCTATATAGGTGTCACTTTAAATCAATATACACCCAACGTAAGACTTTCTAAAGTTATACGTAAAGTTGTATAAAAGATCCCGTCGTAGAGAAAAAAGGTCAGGATAATTAAATGAACTGTACGCTCAAACATACACAATGTAAAAAGTCCAAACTAGAAAGCCTTTTTTATAGAATAAGACTGACAAACGAGGACACAGAGCACCTGATGGTAAGTGGATGCCGTGGTCTATGTGGCACATTTATCCTCAATTAAGAATCAAAATGGAGATGCGTTGTCGCCCCTGTAGTCTAAGATGGGATTCCTCGCTTCTAGTAAAAAAGGTCTCCCATCCTCTACACTCACCATTCGAAATACAGCAGCATTAAGCTGCCATTTTACGCTGGTATTATGTGAGAGCGTGGTCCTTCCCCGGTCGAGCCGACCCATTCATACTACAACCATAATATAGCTGCAGCGTGGCTCTATCACGTAAACAAAAATTTTGTTGTATTTAGTTTACATATTGCAAGTGAGTTGCTTATTAACAAGTAATAGTTGCTTTCTTAAGATTTATTCTTAAGATTTTTCAACGTGGTAGAGCCATGCTGCAGCTATATTAATAGTATAGTTGTAGCACAAATGGGTCGGCTCGACCGGGGACCACGCTCTCACAGAATACCAGCGTAAAATAGCAGCTTAATGCTGCTGCGTTTCGTATGGAGAGTGTAGAGAACCGGAGACCCATCTTACTGGAAAAGAGGCATTCCATCTTAGTCCTCACGGGTGACAAAGCATCTGCATTTTGATTCGCAAACGAAGATAGATGTAGATGTCTATTGTCCACAGCAACCACTTACCATCAGGTGGACTGCGTGCTCGTTTGTCACCCTTATTCTATAAAAAAAAATTACAATATTTCTCGCTAGCAAAATATATTATCATCATCATTACACCCCATCACTGGTCTCCTGATGAACACAGGCCTCCTCAAATTAATGAGACAAAGCACGGTCCTGAGCCTGCATTAATCGATTTTCTGCATCTCTTACCAGTTTGTAACTCTATCTAGTGGGGGCCGCCCTACACTTTCCTAACCAACACAAGACTGTCACTCGAGAACAATCCCCATAAGTAGTCGGTTCTTTGAGCTATACTCGTAAAGCCAGCGCATTGCCACTGCAACTTACTGATTCATTGAGCAATATCGTTTGGTCTGGTCCTAATACAATATACTTATTAAGACGTTTTTCACGCAGAGAAACTCCGAGCAAAGCATTCTCCATAGCTCGTTATACGACGTTGAGCTTCTTCAAAAGGCCAGCAGTGAAAGCATGTCCCTATATAATTATCACATTATTATTATTTAATATGGAAGAAACAAAACAATAGTACATATACGACTACGGTAGACAATATGCACCCTTTTTTATAGGAATAGGGTGACAAACGGGCATACAGTCCACCTGATGGTGAGTGGTTGCTGTAGCCCATAGACATCTACATCTATCCTCGATTACAAATCAAAATGCAGATACGTCGTCACCCGTGAGGACTAAGATGGAATGCCTAGGTTCCAGTAATAAGGGTTAGGTGCGAAACACAGCAGCTCTCCGATTCTCTACAGTCAGTAGAGAACCGGAGAGCTGCTGTGTTTCGTATGGTGAGCCATACGAAACACAGCAGCATTTAGCTGCTATTTTACGCTGGTATTCTGTGAGAGGGTGGTACTTCCCCGGTCGAGCCGACCCATTCGTGCTACAACTATACCACTAATATATGTAGCTGCAGCATGACTTAAAAAAAAGAAAAACTACAACATGTGTTGTCACCCCTAAAGTGCAAAATAGTGGAATATGTCTTGCAGGTTGTAATTACAGTGGACCCCCGGGTAATCCACCCCTGGCTAATCCGCACGCCTCTTGTAATCCGATTTGCCTTTACATGTAGGTACAATCAAGTCGCGTTATGAATCCGCCACGGGGGGAGGTGTCTTTCTCGAATACGTGGACAAACAGGTTGCAATTAGTTCGCACCACCACGAATCTAGCTTCATTATTATTGCACGTGTTGTCTCAGTTTAAATGTGACTATGGTGATGTTTATTTTATATTTGCTATGTAATGTGTTAGATTACAAGGTACTCTTTTTCAAAAAGGACTACACGGAGGCTGTGGCAGTACTCTATAGTCCGATAAATTTGATAATCCGACACCACGCTTGTACGTTTTTACAACAAAATTACAGAAAATATACAAAATTTGACCTGCTCAACGTTCAAAAACTTTTAAACTAAGTTTGTATAAAAAGGGTTATTATAATATTAAAGGATTTATGGATGATAATAACCCCTGGAAATGAGGTGATCCCTACCAAGCTATTTCTAATTTGTTGTATTGTTAATTTGTGTAACACATGTATGATTTTAAGCTGTTATTTTTAAAAAAAAGTCCCGCTGGGTTTCTTGCTGGTTCCTCCCAGGACAGAGGGTTTTTTCGAACCAGTGGTAATTAAACAAAAGAGTGACTTTCAATAAGTATTATTTATAATCTATATTGAATAAAAAAGTTTCTGTTTCTGTTTCTGTTTCCACCTTGCAAAACGTTTGTCGGATTACCGGGGGTCAACTGTATTGTACTTCAAAAACAAAGGTTATAGGTAAAAGATTGGTACCCATTCAAGAACCTACCACCTAGGTAAATATTAATTATGTAACATATCAAAAAAAAATCATACCCGACAGTACAGTGAGCGGCAGTAAGAATCCATCTACTGCTCAAAATAGATCCACCACAAAAGTGCGAGTTCAACATGCTTCTCAGCGATGCCTGATACGGTATTCCGCCTTCGGGAGCATTTTCACCGCCGACGATGCGTGGGTTTCGAAAGTAGAAATCATTAACGGGGAGAATGTACCCTAAATAACCAATAAATTTACATTATTATGAAGTTTAATTAGACGTTTTTTTATAGTAGAAGTTGGCCCCAAACAATTATTCGGCTCACGGGTGATAAGTGTCGACCGCCGTCCGTGAACAACTGCATACACCTGGGCAATTGTAGATGCGTTGCAGGCCTCTGATTTTGAGTTGTTAATAGGAAGATACTGCTGCCTTCCCCCTGTATTGTTTTTCTCTGTCACTTTTTACGACACCCACGGTATGGTATTATAAAATAGTGGATTCTGTTATGCCGCCACTACACGTCATTATATCTTATTTTTGTAATAATATTTATTTACGATAAATTTAATATACAGTGTTATTTTTCAAAAAGTAGCCAAATTTTAAACTTAAGTTCAAATATATAAATAATGATACACCGTTATTACAGTTTTTTTTTTAATTACGAGTAAATAATGAAGCATGTAGGCTTCATACTTTTATTTGCAATTATCCTAAATTGAATATGATTTATGGGAAACAACGTTTTTGCTTACCGATCGACCCTTACGAATGTGTGCGTGAGCAGTAAAATCAGTTAAAATAATGTATTATCACGCATTTTGAATTTAAAAGATAAAAAGGACAAAATGTTTGAGATTTTTTAGAGTTAATTTTTCTTCACCATTTGCCTATATTACTTATTCTGAACCTTCTGTACAAATTTGGCCGGTTATTGCAAAATAAACCTGTATATATCTAAATATACGAATGTTTGTATTTATTACAGTGTACGTCAGTAAGTAGGTACACCACCCATTATAGTTCTCAAATGTGGTCTGACTTTCGGCAAGCATTAAGTCCCCCATCTGAATTCTCAATGAAATGGCTGAATAATACCCAGACAGCCATAAAAAACAATTTTATTAGGCGTAACTTTTTATTGATTTAAAACAAGGAATACTAAAAAAATAAAATTATATTAAATTATAGTTACGAATTAAGTACTAAATCATGACGAAAAGATACATAAATTTAATAAAAATTAATTTACGGATTTTATGTGCTTAGGTTTAGGTGTTTAGGTGCTCGAAACGTCGGGAATATAAAATAAGTTAATATACGCGATAAAATCCGTAAAATTAGTTTTATCTAAATGTGTAGTGTTCGCGTAAATATAAGAAATCAATACATAAATTACTTAAAAAGTTTTAAACTAGATAAAACAAATTAGATCCAGACACCCTAAGGTCAGGATAACAACCACTTGCTTTTTCGGTACTTCTGTCTCTCTATTCAACTAGCAACCAAATATTTGGCATAAGATGTGACTTTTTTTTAAAGATGGACATCTGATGGTAAATCACTACCGCCGCTCATGAACAACTGCAATTTCAGAGTAAATGCAGGTGCGTTGCCAGCTTTTTAGAAAAGAGTAGGCTCTTTCTTAAATGGTAGCGTTTGTGAAACTGAAAGGCTAATTAATCTAGTTGGCTGCGACATATCTATTACGTATAGGAGCCACAAAATTTGGCGTCGCTTATAAAATGTCAAACACGAAGATTGTATAAAACGAAAAATAACGATATAATAACTTTTTTTTATAACTCCCAGCCGCCAAATTTCACGAACGCAAATCGCGGCAGAACTCCCGATACCATCCACACCATCTGGGTGATTGGCGGTCCACCACTGTGCGATTTAGAAGATGTTTTCTTCCTCGCACAACTTCCTTGTGGAATAGTTTACCATCAGCGGTTTTTCCGGACCGATACGATTTAGGGACCTTCAAGAAAAGAGCCTACTCCTTTTTAAAAGGCCGGCAACGCATCTGCAATTCCCCTGGTGTTGCGGTTGTTTATGGGCGGCGGTAGTCACTTACCATCAGGTGAGCCGCATGCTCGTTTGCCCCCTCTCCTATAAAAAAAACTTATTTCTATAAAGTAACATTATTAAATTCGCGGATAAAATTTATTCATAGCATAAAATACTACATCAACAAATTTAAAATAACAATTGTTTGAATAAAATTGTTTGAATAAAATTGTTCAATAATCTCACATTTATATTCATTCCGGTTATAATTTATTTGATGGATAACTTTTCTCTGACGATTGAAAAGTCTACATTAGATAATTTTATAATTTCCTTAAAAACCTTTTTAAATAGTATAAGGTTTTGAATGTTATATGTAATTAAAATTGGACTCTCACCGTGACTTCCAGAAATTATACAGAGAATGGAAATTAAAATCGATGTATGCATTTTAAAAGTTGCTCTGACTTCTTAACAATTTTAAGGTATTTACACCTGATGCTCCTCCCAGCGCAATACGCACACGAGTTAAATGATTTACCTTTTATACTATATAACATTCTAAGTGTCCACTCTAATGATGTTTATCTGTAAAATGACACAATTTACTGTGTAAATGCGTCTTCAAATCACTTCAAAATATTGTAAATATCATGTCAGAGAAAATTAAACTTCACCGATACAATATTACATAAATACCTACTATCAGTCTGTGCCTAAACGCTTGAAAAGTTTCCCAAAATAAAAAGTTCTATAATATCGTTATTGTATTAAATTTTATACATGGTAAAGCCGTGCTTCAGCTATATCATAGTTGTAGCACGAATGGGTCGGTTCGACCGGGGAACGACAACGTTCTTACAGAATACTAACGTAAAATAGCAGCTCAATGCTGCTGTGTTTCGTATGGTGAGTGTGGAGAACCGGACACCCTTTTAACTGGATATATTTTGATGTGAAGATGAATGCATCTGCATTTTGATTCTTAGACGAGGATAGGTGTACATGTCTATGGGGCACACACATGTGACAAGCGAGCACACAGCCCACCTGATTCACTTACTTGTCACCCTTATACTATAAAAAAAATAGTATTCTTTTTCGCCTAGGAGTCTGTCTGGTGAGTACCATATCTATTTCTGCCGCCAAGTTACTGTGTTTCCAGTCTGAATGCTCGTATAAGAGAGCCATTATAATTACAGAGTGTCGCCTTCCATCTTAGTATTGGCCATACATTTGAATTTACAAGGCATTTATTGCCTGCTTTTTTCTCACCTTCTGAGATATAAGCGCGCACGATAAAGAACAGAAGTTCTAAGAAGCAGCAGTGGACAACAGAGGAAAAATAAGCAATGCAAGATATGTTAATGACTTCATTACTTATTATATATCTTTGAGCGGGCTCTTTTACTACAAAAGGCGGCATCTAAAAATGCCATCTCATATTTAAATTAGGTGTAAAATAACCAAACTGACGGCAGGAAACAGCTTAAAATTTGCAGAACTTTAATGCAGTGCTACCAATCCGTCTGACAGTCTTACTAAGGAATAAACGTAAACGTAACAGAAGAGGACTGTTTACAGTCTAATGATGGAAGTAATAAAATAGATATACCAAATTATTAATAATTATAATAAACAAGAAAACGGAAAACAGAAGAACGCGCAAAGCGCCGCTGCCTGGAGATCGTCAGAGCGCGTCTGGAGATGGCACTGGACGCGACAGCATGCGAACCGTCAGCCGAGTGCGAGGTGCTGCACGACCACACAGCAGCCCCTCGCATCCATCATCCCCACCAGCTGGCTTGGTGTCGACAGGGTCTTCGCTGACCCAGCAATAGGCACCCGCCACTGGTAGAGCACGCCGCATGCGTTGGAAAATGCAGATAAATAGCAACGCATTGCGGGGGTACTTTAGGGCGGAAGGGGGAGAAATTGGAGGTTTTTCGTACCGGGCTAGGATACATCGACTTTTTGTTGAGCTGGTGCCATCTATAACCATCACCGAGCAAAACCTGGCAGACCGAGTTTGGTATATCTTGCGCTCAAACATATTTGATGGCACCGAACTCGAACGGCTACGACGTGGGGCTGTTTCCTCATCAGGTGAAAATACTATGGCTGAGGATGCGGCGCCACAAGTTGTAGAGCAATCAGCACACGTGGATGCCGCCTTGATTCCCCCAATTGTGGTTGATTTAGGCGATGATCGAACAGTCACCCAGGAACAAGAACTAGAGCAAATGAGGAGTATATTGGAAGAGGCGATTGAAGAAACGCGCAGTACGCCTCTCGAGAATCGACTACGACTTCCTCGCATATCGCTAAGTAAGCGGAATCGGGCTGTCGTGAGGCCTCTAAACCCAATACTGGTGACCTATTTGGAAGCCAGCCGGGACCTTTGCGAGACGGCAGACTGCTGTGCTTCAGGTCGGGCAATAGCAGGCCAAGGATTGTGCGCACCGTCAGAATTACGTTTGCTGGGACAAATGTCCGTTTTTCCCAGCCGAATATAACCCAAAAACTGACGGAGCGCTTAGACGACCTAAAGCAGAGAGTTGCTGTTTGGGGAAAGCGGATTCGGCGATATACCGAGAGGTCGACACGGTTCAACCAGAATCGTTTCTTCCAGAGTGATCAGAAGAGGCTCTTTGAATCATTGGAGCGACCAATGGTAAATGGTAATGGTACGTGGAACGGGCCCAACACCGAATCAGGCCGACACTGTCGCATTCTGGTGCGGCCTGTGGTCAGAGCACGTAAACCACAGCGAGGGCCCTTGGACGGAAGTTGTGGCGAGTTAATGTGCGAATGTTACGCCCATGGACATCGTCATCATACGTAGCTATGGCGGTCCGTAGGGCCCCGAACTAGAAAAGTCCTGGACTCGACGGACTGCATCACTACTGGCTACATGGTGTGTCACGCTGTGCTCGCCCAACAGTTTCAAAAAGCTCTCGAGTAAAAATCACTCCCGAGCCTCTTCACTAGTGGGATCAGTCATTTGGTTCCAAAAAGCCCTGATTCCACAGACTTCATCAAATACCGCCCCATTACGTGTCTATCCGTCATATATAAGACACTCACATCCATTTTGAGTACGCGAATCATTCAACACATGAATTTAAATCAGGTGATGTCGCGTGCTCAAAATGGATGTCAGAGTGGTGGTCGTGGAACCAAGAAACCAATCCTCATTGACGCGGTCATTGGCAAAGTGGTTAAACGCAACCGTCGGAACTTCTCCGCCGTCTGGATAGATTATAGAAAAGTATTCGACTCGGTACCCCATACATGGCTAAAGAGGGCCCTCGTGCCATACAAGGTTGACTGAACAGTTATAGACTTCCTCGGGCAGTGTATGGGGCACTGGAGTACAATCCTTTGTCATGTAGGCGAGCGAATAACGGATGCGGAAAGCCACATAAGGATAAGAAGGGGTGATCTTCCAGGGTGATTGTTTGAGTCCAATCTGGTTTTGAATTCTCCATGAACCCTCTTAGTACCTTACTGGAGGACTCCGCGAGGGGATTTCAGCTTCTGAAAGGAGGTATAAAAGTGACCCACATTTTCTATACGGATGATCACAAGTTATTCGCATCCAGTCGCTCCCATCTTATGGAATTGCTAAACATCACTTGTGATTTTAGTAATTCTATTAGAATGGAGCTGGGGACGGATAAGTGTGTGGTCCTCCATGTCGAAAGGGGAAGGGTTGCTAACTCTGAGGGCATAAACTTATCTATGCCCATCAACATAGGACCCTTTCCGAGGCTGAAACATACCGATACCTGGGTATGTCACAGAACATCGGTATCGATGAGGCGGATATGAAGCAGTCAGTTTGCGATGTGTTTTATGCACGCTTGACCAAAGTGCGTAACAGCCTTTTGTCCGGTGTGAATAAGATAGACGCATATAAGACACGCATATATTTATACCGGACAGATGATATCCACCGATATCGGTTGGGTTATGTATACCTTTGGCATACTTAGGTGGACTCAAACTGAACTTAACGCCCTGGATAGAAAAGTCCGCACTACTATGACGTCCCATAGGATACATTACCCGAATTCGTCGATTATGAGGCTGTACTTGCCCCGGAAACATGATGGGCGTGGGTTTTTAAGCGCCCTTACCATGCATAACCGCGAAGTGTGCAGCCTCCGTAACTACTTTCTGACGAGAGCGGATGATCCATTCTATAACTGGAATAAATTATTCTTGTGATATAGGACTAACCCATCTATCCTTAACCAACAGACCCGGCAGTACAGAGTATTTCCGACCGAGAGACCGTATGGAAGTAGAAGAAGCTCCACGGGAGGTTCTACAAGGCTCTACATGAGTGCTAATCCCGGTCAGCCTCTCAGGTCCTCTGAGGCGTCTGGGACTCCGTGACGAACCGCTCCGAGCTCAGATGCAAAAGGCGGTGTTCGTCGATACCGCCCGCATCGTCCGTAGGTATCTTTCCCTTTCTTCCTAATCCTCGGCCGTTTGGTCTCCCCTGCCGAGGGCTTCCATGTGTTTGAATTTTATTTATTTATAATTTTATGTATTTATTTTATTTTATTGATATTTATGTATATTTATCATTTTCATTTACATTTAAATATTTATACAGCCCAATCAGATAAGAGAACTATTTAAATACACTCCATAATAATATTTTTATTTCAAACCATGAGTTCTTTTTGATTAACCTTGGTTAGACTTAAATATTGAACAAGTCCTATATTGTTACACGAATCGTTGGCCATTCCTCGGGCTAATCACCTTGCCCGGTGAGATGTCTCCCCTTTTTCTTTCTTTCTTTCTTTCTTTATTAAAAAATGTTACCTCCACCCTAGGATTTTCTCCTGTATTGCGGGGGTAGTTTACATACACAGATTTCACAAGGACAAACATCCAGACCCATAACAATTATTTGAAGGCCATACAAATACTTGATCCATGCGGGATTCGAACCCGCGGCCCTTAGCACTGCAACTCATTGATAAGCCATTGCCTCACGGAGCCGCCGTTTTCCTTTCACGTTCAAAGTTACATAATTATAGTAAAACATGAATATAAGTAGCTTAGTGAGTGAGCCGTAGTTGCTCAGGAGTTAAGCGCTCGCCGTAAATTTCTCAGTACGCAAGCAACCCGGGCTCGCTTCCCACCGGCACCAGTGAAATTGTTAATTGCAATTTTAAGTGCCGATCTACTACGTGCTCGACGGTAAGGAAAAACATGGTGAGGAAATTTGCATATCTAAGAAATTTTAAAATAAAAAATATATTTTGTCGAAGGCATGTGATTTCGTCAACACGCATTAGACATTTCTTTGCCATAAAAATTTTATGCCCAGAAGTGGGACGTATATAGGCTGTAACTTTTAAGTAGAATTGCATTGACACACAAAGGTTGGTAAAAAGTAAAATACCGGATCGTTATCATTTACGTTG